ACATCAAGCCACTGACAAATAACAAATTAAAATATACCAAGAAAGAAAAGCTTGTAGTTAGTTCAAGGATCGCTGGCCTTTAAGAGTGTTTTCCAGTCCAGCCTGTTGGGGCACCACGTCCATTCCCCAAAGTCCACCCCACAATCTTTTTTGTCTTTCATTGTCTTGACCATTTTGAGAAGTAGAAGCTAAATTTATCGGAAATTACTTTATTTAAGTTTGATATTCCTTATAGCTGCTATGAACATGATTTTTAACAGCTTTTTTGCACTCTTTGATTATATGGTTATAGTGTTACTCTATTGTATTAGAATAAATTCCTAAAAATGGAATTGCTGGGTTGAAGAGCTAGGGCTCATGTTTAAGGTTTGTGTTTTTGTTTCCTTCTGTTGTACCCAGGGCACTATGGTTGGAGCTGACGCCATCGCACCTATAATGAGTATCACTAATAAGAATTCTGCTTAAGTGTTTGTTCCCCTACACCTTTGCTGAGTTATAGAATAGAAGGGGTATTTATCAAGTCTACACGAAAACAGTATGTGGAATGTGGGCTCTGAATAAAAGAGACACATTCTTCTCCTTTCTCATCACAATTGGTCATTGATAAATTTGTGGAAAAATCCTTAGGAACCAAAATGGACTCTACCAAAGTAGATGCAGTGCTGACTTCCACCAGTGAGGCAATATTAGGAGAATCTCAAGGCTCCTTTTGAGTTCTCCGTTAAAATGTTTTATAGTAAAAATGTATTATTAAAAGAAAAAAATAAAATATCTTCATGAAAAAGCTGAATGTCAATAAACTGTTATTACAACTTTCTGAAGTTTATGACTATGAAACACTTTAAACATGTAAAAGTTTAAAAGAATAGTGCAGTTGACATCCTTATACTTTCTGCTTATATTCAACATTTTATCATGTTTGCTTTATTTTTATATATGTATATATATGCTGAGTCTCTGGGTGGTGCAAACAGTTAAAATGCTTAACTACTAATGGAAAGGTTGGAGGTTCAAGTCTGCTCAGAGTTCCCCCAGAGGAAAAACATGCTCTAACACATAGGGTTGCTGTCAGTTGGAATTGATTTACAGCAACTTATTGTGTGTGTGGTTGGGGCAGGGGGGTGTTTAAGACTGTGTGCATGTTTGTGTGTATTACATCAACTTACTTTACAGCTAAATTCTATGCTATTAATTTCCTAAGAATAAAAATAGTATTTTCAGTAAAAATACTATAACCTCCACCAAAAAAATTAACAAAGATTCTTTAATATAACTCACTACCTAGTCCCTTTTTCAAAATTCCACCAAGCATCCCTGTTGTTGTTAAGTGCCATCAGATTGGTTCAGACCTTATGTACTACACAACAAAACAGTGCCTGGTCGTTAATCCTCAGAATACTCTTGAATTTCAGTACTCTAAAGTTCTGTGGCAGATTTACCTAATGCAGCACTTCTCATGGCTATTGCTTCCATGAGCATGGATTTTGAAGCTAATAGATGAAATCCTTGACAACTTCCTCTTCTCCACTTAGGATGTTACCTATTGTCCAGTTGTGAGGATTTGGGTCTCTTTTACATTGAGTTGTAATCCACACTGAAGGCTACAATCCTTGATCTTCTTTAGCAAATGCTTCAATTCGTCCTTTTCAGCAAGGAGGGTTGTGTTATCTGCATGTCACGGGGCGTTAATAAGCCTTCCTCCAATCCTGATAACAGATAGCCTTCCTCATATCATCCATCTTCTCTGATTATTTGCTCAGCATACACATTGAATATGTATGATGAGGAGATTCAACCCTGTCACACACCTTTCCTGATTTAAAATCATGCAGTATTCCCTTGTTCTGTTTGCACAATTTCCTCTTGATCCATGTACAAGTTTTGTATGAGCACAATGAAGTGTTCTGGAATTTTTATTCTTCTCAAGCTTATCCTTGTTTATTATGATCCACAGTTCAATGCCTCGTCATAATCATTAAAACAAAGAAACAGCTTTTCTGTATTCTCTGCTTTCAACTAAGGTCCCTCTGACATCAACAGTGATATCCTTTGTCCCACATTCTTTTCTGAATCCATCCTGAATCTCTGACAACTCCGTGTCAATGTACTGCTGCAACCATTGTTAGATGATATGTTAGTCTAGGTTGACTAGAGAAACAAATTCGTAGACGCTCATGTGTGTAATAGAGAACTTTATATCAAAGAGTAATTGTATATTAAGAAACATCCCAGTCTAGATCAAATTCCTAGTCTGATATTAGCCCATATATCTGATACCAGTCTAAATACCTCCCCAGACTCATGCAACACATACAATCACACAGAGTGCAAGATCACAGGCCAGTAGATGGAAAGTCTTGTGGATTCAGTGTTGGTGGAAGCATCTTAGCCCTGGCGTGTGTCTCCACATGGCTCCTCCAGCTTCAAGACTCTGGCTGTTATCAGCATAGCTCCATTTGTTTTATCAGCAGGAATGTCAAGCAGATAAGAGAGTGTGTCTCACCTCCAGGGAAGAAGAGTTTCCAGAATCCTCAGGAGAAGGCCATGCCCCCACTGAGTGGCCTCATTGGGTATGACCTGACAGGCTAGACTCTACCCCTTCACCAGTTGACAGATTATGTAATTGCCACAGATGATATTCAGCAGAATTTTACTTATCTGTAATATCAATGCTATTGTATAATTTGAACATTCTGTTGGGTGACCTACAAGGAGCCCTGGTGGTGTAGTGGTTATACTTTGGGCTGCTGTGCACATGGTCGGCAGTTCGAAACCACCATCCGTTCTGCAGGATGAAAACCTAGGTTTTCTGTTCCCCAAAATAGGTACAGTCTCAGAAACACACATAGGGTTACTATAAGTCAGCATTGAATCAGTGGCAGTGAGGTTTTTTTGGTTGGGTAACCTAACAGAATGCTCACATGTTGGGATGGGGTACTAATAAAGATCTTTTCCAGTCAGTTGGCCAAGTGGCTGTCTTCCACATTTCCTGGCACAGATGAGGAAGTGCTTCCTGTGCTTCATCAGCTTGCTGAAACATTTCAGGCATTCCATTAATTCCTGGAGCCTTGCTTTTGGTTAAGCTTTCCATGCTGCTTGAACTTCTCCCTCCTGAAATGGTGGAATGTCAACTAGTTCTGGTATAGTGATTGTGTATCCTTTCCATATATATATATATATTTTTTTTAATTTTTAAGAAATAATTTTATTGGGAGCTATTACAGCTCTGATAACAATCCATAGATCAGTTGTAGCAAGCACATTTGTACATGTATCCTTTGTATCTTTTGATGCTTCCTATTATCATTTAATGTTTTGTCCATAGAATCTTTCAATATTTCAACTCAAGGCTTGGATTTTTTTCTTGGGTTCTTTCATTTTTTATTTTTTTTATTTTTTTTTGGTGGGGGGGTTCTTTCATTTTAAGATGTGCTAAATATGTTCTTCCCTTTTGGTTTTCTAACTGTAGGTCTTTCCACATTTCGTTATGTTTGACTTTGTCTTTCTGAGGTGCCCTATGAAACTTTCCATTCATTTCTTTGAGTTCATCATTTTTCCATCTGCTTTAGCTACGCTATGGTTAAGAGCAAGTCTCATGGTCTCTTTAAGCATCCACTTTGACCTATCTTTGCTGGTTTTTTGTTGACCGTTTGCTTTCTTTGTGAATGATAATATTGATGTCCTCCCATGGCTCATCAGGTCTTCTGTCAATCGTGCTCAACGCTCGTCTCATGTCTGTTCTTGAGATGTTCCTGAAATGCCGGGGGCCAAAGACTCATTCTCAAATCTGTCTTTGAGTTTTTTGATGCCTGTTTTTGTTTCCTTGTGTTGCATTTGGTTGGTTGTTTTGACTCTTAAGCTCTATATGTGAACTTTATCTTAGTTGTTTAATGATACATGGGGTTTGTAGTCATTTGTCTCAAATTTTTCTCTGGCCTTATCTTACATAAACAATATTTAAATGGTACAGGAACTCATTTATGGAGAAGATTGGGATGAAACATTAGCAGAGATAAACATGCTCTGTTATTAAATATTAGTCCTTAATATGTGTTTAAGTTCTCATATAAGTTATTTGTCTTATAGATTGATATGAGAGGGTTTTCTTTTCTTCAATTGAAATGTTATTTACTTTTTATTTAAGGAATTCTTCTAGTTGGACCACCAGGGACTGGAAAGACCCTTCTTGCCCGAGCTGTGGCTGGAGAAGCTGATGTTCCTTTCTATTATGCTTCTGGATCAGAATTTGATGAGATGTTTGTGGGTGTGGGAGCCAGTCGTATCAGAAATCTTTTTAGTAGGTTTTAATATCTTTTGTTAAAAATTCTACATTTTGTTAAACTTCAGAGGACAAGGTTTCTTAGCCATTTTTAATTGCTTATGATTGATAGTTGGTTGAAATGGCCATTGCAGGGCTTGGGTTTTAAATAATATTTGTTCTAAAACAGACCTGTACTACTTTTCCAGATAAAACTAAGTGACGCTAGGGGAAGTGTTATATGAGGTTGGAGGTGATGAGAAAGTGTGTGCTTTTCACTTTAGTCATCAGGTCTGTATATGGAACTCAGGAGCACTTGGCCTCAACTCAACTGTGGGATTTGCACAGCTAAGAATTGTTTTTATTTTACATCATTCTCTTTGTGGTTTATTTTTAGTCTGTTTTTAGTTATGCTTTCTTAGATAAGTTATAAACGAATGGGGGTTTCTTCTTTGATTTAATTTTTTTTTATTAGTCACCTCTATTGTATGCTTTGTTTTAGTTAATGTTTATTTCTTATTGAATCTTTTCTGTTTTCTTAGGGGAAGCAAAAGCAAATGCTCCTTGTGTTATATTTATCGATGAATTAGATTCTGTTGGTGGGAAGAGAATTGAATCTCCAATGCATCCATATTCAAGGCAGACTATAAATCAACTTCTTGCTGAAATGGATGGGTAATTGACAGCATTCCTTTATCTGTAGGATTTGGTCATATTTTTACAAATAAAGGTTTACCGTAATTTAACAGTTAGAATTAATAGAAGCTATTTCTCACAGTTTGGTACATGTTAATCTGATATTGTGCATTTTGCTTTCCATAAAGCATTTAATTACGATCTAGATGTTGGGGAAAATGCATGTTTTCAAGAGTGTATCCAATAAGAAGTCAAAATTTTTTCCTCAGTATTTCACTATTTCCATAGCTAATTGAGTACTTGATGTATTAGCTTCTCTTATGTAATTTGTGCCATTTATCCCTCGTCTTAGTTCTCTAGTGCTGCATCCCCCCCCCCCACACACACACACACACACACAGTTTAGAAAGACTGGTATCCAAATTTAGGAAGCTGCCTCTACTCTAAGGGACAAGACTTTTTCCTTTTGCTAGTCTGAAGGGAAGGCGGCCCTGTCTCTTCTGAGGTTCTGCTGATGGCAGTTTCCTTGTGGCTTCGCATCTTTGCCAATCATTTCTCTGCTTATTTATTGTACTTATTTTATATCTCAAAAGAATCTACCCTGCACTAATCCTGCCTCATTTACATAAAACCCAAGCTGTTACCGAGATTAGAACCACAGGTATAGAGATTAGGATTTTCAACATTTTGGGGGGGTTCAACCTTTTGGCCCCCCCTAAACCATGTCGGTGCAAAATGGAAAGCACATTTTACTCAATGACATCAGCCCAGAATTCTTAAATTAACTCTGAGTCTAAAAATCTTTTCTTCTGAATCATCTGAATCAAATATGGGCTAAACTTTTAAGCATATTCATCCAGGGGAAAATAATACCTTTTTTTTCCTGTGGAATTTTAGACTCCAAGTTGTGTTTTCAAATTAAAACAGTGGAACATTCAAAAGGTAAACATTTCCATTACAAATGCGAAAAATTGGACAGAAACAAGGGACAGCTAACAAACCCAAAATCCAGCAGAACAGTTAACTTAAGATCTCAAGATTTGAAAACAATCTCTGTTCGTTGAGATCACCCACTAGGCTCTGGGTGTTAGCTGCTCCCTCAGGATAGTGGGTGTTCTCAGCCTTGGGTTTCATCTCTGTCCTCTAGACCCTCAGAGACAGAGGGCATCTGATCCCTCTGCTATGGGCTGCAATTGCAACCCATGATCCCCGATGGCCCCACCCTTTAAAACTAAGAAGTCCCTCTTCAGTGCTCTGTCCACTAGTTGCTCCAGGGATGGTCCTTTTTTTTCTCTTGGAAGTCAGGAGCTGTGGCTCTTAAGGCCTTTTCCCTGTCTTTAGAATTCCAAGAGGTAGCTAGAGTTCTTTCCTTTGATCTTTATTCAAAATGGAATGGTTTTCACTGTGATGCTTAGGTGCATCAGCCATGGCCTTAACAGCAGATTGCGTAGCCACATTCTTGCTGAAAATTCTAGGATAGAGTCCCTTAGTTTGTACAACACAATTTCCCAGATATTTGTGTTTTCATTTGGTAAAGTCTTCATGCGAAGCACATTTAATGTCCATGTTTCTAGTAATTGTCCCCTATGTGTTCTCTGCGATGGTGAGGACTTTCTCCTGAGGTCTCCTCACCTCCTCCTGAGCCCTTACCAAATTGCCTTTGATACCTGCATTTTTTTTAATATAATGAAATTTATTTATTTATTTTCAGTTTATTTTATTTATTTATTTTTTAGTCGTTTTATTGGGGGGTCATACAACTCTTATCACAATCCATACATACATCAATTGTGTAAAGCACATCTGTACATTCATCGCCCTCATCATTCTCGAAACATTTGCTCTCCACTTAAGCCCCTGGCATCAGGTCTTTTACTAATAGTTTCTTCAAGGCAAGTTAGTTGTTCACTATTAAGAGCCTTAAAGCTCAACATTTACCATTACTCAGTTCTAAAACCAAGTCAAAAGTTTAGGTATCTGTACCACCCCAGTCTTTTGGTAGTAAAATCCATCTAGAATTATTTAGTGCTGCTAAATAACAGAAATACTACAAGTAAATGAATTAATAATTATAAATGCATTTTCTCACAGTTTAAGATCTCTGGAAGAAGAAAACAGAAAACTAACTCATTGCCCTCGTGTGAATTCTGACTCATAGTCAGAATTGTGGCCAATAGAATTGCCCCTGTAGGTTTCTGAAGCTGTAAATATTTATGAGAGCAAAAAGCCTCATCTTTCTCTAGTAGAGAAGCTGGTTCATTCTAATGTCTGCCCTTGTGGATAGCACAATAGAAAACCCACTATGCTACCTGTGATAGGGACCAGCTTTAGTGAGGAAGATTTTCTGTCTGCTGGCTCTGGAGGAAAATGCATGTTATCTTTGAGTGATATTCATGTTACTGGATATCTCTCTTTCATCTCTGCTCTGCCTTTTTTCCCTTCTTTATATCACTAGTATATGAAAAGAAATACACTCAATATTCAGTACACTAATCCTGCCATAATCACATAGCAAAGACAATCCATTTCTAAATGAGACTGGAAGGTAACATTTACAACATATTTTTTTATTTTAATCGTTTTATTGGGGGCTCTTACAGGTCTTATAACAATCCATACATCAATTGTATCAAGCACATTTGTACATCTGTTGCCATCATCATTTCCAAAACATTTTCTTTCTACTTGAGCCCTTGGTGTCAGCTTCTCCCTTCTCCCCTTACGATATATTTTTGAGGGACACAATTCAATACTGATACTATTTATCTCATTTATTGTGTTACACATATCCCAACAAGCTGAGGTTAGTGTATTTGAAGAAGTAACAGAAGAGAGGACAATGGCTCCTTCACAGTTTGTGACTACTGCAGTACCAATTTTCGTAATATCAAAGGCAAATGGCAAGGTTGACTTGAAGGAGTACAGATATTTTATAAAATCCTTTAAGGTTATAGAACTAAATAGCTGTAGGAGCCAAAACTTTAGTTGTAGACATAAAAATAATTTTCCAGAGATTAGTCACACATGCTTTCTTTTCCGTTATGCACAAGTTTTATATGTTAAGTCAGCGCTACCAAAGAAAGAGCTGCAAGGCTGGTTTGGTGACTGATTATGACCAAGTTTGTGGACTTGCACTGGTCTAACATTTGTTTTTTTAAAAAAACAATTAGGGAAAAAAAAACGTCTTTTAGAGTATTGTGAGGGTTAATGATAAACAGTTTTGTGTAGAGTGTTTTTGTTTGGGTAATTGTACTTATTAGCAATTGAAAAGAGGAACTCTTTATTTTTATTTTAATAGTTTTAAACCCAATGAAGGTGTTATCATCATAGGAGCCACAAATTTCCCGGAGGCATTAGATAAGTAAGTATGAAAAGATTTTAGTGAAGTACTGGTATCTGCTAACAGTGTGTGTAGATCTTGCAAATAATACTGTAAGAATCAGTCCCAGAAGAGTCACTTATGATTCCATTAGTATGAAATGTCCAGAATAGGCAAATTAATAAGAGACAAGAGAGTATATTAGTGGTTATCAGAGGCTGGAGAAAATAGTGACTGTTAATGGATAGTTTTGCGGTGATGAAAATATTGTAAAATTAGATTGTGATAATGCTTGCACAGCTCGGAACTTAGTGTGACATCTCTGAATTGTACACATTAAATGGTTAAATCTCATATTTACCTCATATGTCTAAAGCATTTTTCTTTTCTATTTTGGACATTTTAAAGACTCATAACTTACGTATTCCAGAAATTTATTTTCAGTAGAGACCATTTTAAAAATGCCGTTTTCTGTTATTAAAATGCATATTTAAATTCTATTATTTTGTTATAGGATAATAAATTGTGCATATTTATATCTAATCAAATTGTCATTATCTAAAATCCTAATCCAATATTCTGTACTTCACAGCCGAGACGGGCACGTAGAACAAAAATAAGCAAAGCAAAGAAAGTTAATTCTGACCCATAGCAGCCCTGAAGTCAACTAACGTGTCTTTATCCCACAGAGCAGCTGTTGGGTTTCAACTGCTGACCAGTTGGATAGCATCCAAATAGCACTTTAGCAGCTGCAGCACCAGGCCACCTTAGCTCTCAGAATAAGACCACTGTGAGCCTTTTTGTTCCTTCGCAGACCTCCTTGCCTCCTTTTGCTTTTGAAGGCGTGTGTGACATCGATGCAAACAGATCTATGTTCATCTTTGTTTTGCCTTCAGGTTACTACAGTGACTGTTACTTGAACCATCCTTTAAAAGACATTCTGTGAACATTTATATTTCAAGCCCCTTTTTATCTTTGTTGTTGTTAGCTGCTATTGAATCATTTCCTGACTCATGGTGACTCCCACGCACAACAAGATTAGTCTTGCAGATCCACTGCGATGTGTTCAACATTAGAGCAACACACAAACCTCCTCATGACAGATGGGTGTCAGTGTAGTCTCTGGCTGCAACTTACCGTCTTAGTAGCATCATCTCTTAATTAATAGAGTTCATCCTTCCTGTTTAGCTTGAATTTCAGCTAAAATAGGTCAGTTTGTTAATTTATATTTGTGTGTGTGTGTGTGTGTGTGCTTTCTGCAGTGCCCTGATCCGTCCTGGTCGTTTTGACATGCAAGTTACAGTTCCCAGGCCAGATGTAAGAGGTCGAACTGAAATTTTGAAATGGTATCTCAATAAAATAAAGTTTGATCAGTGTAAGTCCAATTTTACAATGTAAACTTTTTTACTTTCTAAAAGACCTATCTTAGTTGATAAATGTTTTAAAATGTGAGTTTACTTACAATCTTTTTGTAATCCATTCTGTTATTTTATCAATTTGGACCTTAGTTCCAAGACAAGCTTTTCTTACTTCAAACAGATCACATAGTTCAAGATAAATATACCTAAAAGTATTTTTGTTTGTTTGTTTTTCCCTCTGCGCCCCCCCCCCAAAAAAAAAGTATTTTTAAGAAGTGCTTAAAATAGAAGAAAATACACCAGAAAAAAATAGTGTTGATACAGCCAGTTTGGAGCCAAAGGAGGCAAAAACACAACAATGTGGTGGACTCCCTTCAGTCAGTATGCTCATGGACGACTGAGGACATCCAGAGACAGATGTACTTTCTATTGTGCTAGCCCGAAGGGGAGCTTTCATCAACCTAGATTCATGGAGCAAAATAGTGTCTGTGAATTTTTTTTCCTCTAGTTTATTAGTCTAATAGCCTTAAAAAACAATAAACCCAAATTTAAAGGTCTGTAGTTCATATTTGGGCATCTGCTACATTTCTTTGGTTTTTTACACAGCTATTTAATTGGCTTTCACACTCGTAAGAATTTTAGTGAAATAAATTTATTGTTGAGCTTTAAAATTATATTTCAGAATAGTTGTGTTCCTTTTTCCGTTGCATTGTGACTTTTTACTTGAACATCTGTATCATTAAGAATCAAGTATTAATTATTTTACACTTTTTAACAAAAGAAAAAAAATCAATTTTGGATTCTGTTGTCTTTGTTTTCCCTTTCTATATAGCTGTTGATCCAGAAATCATAGCTCGAGGTACTGTTGGCTTTTCTGGAGCAGAATTGGAGAATCTTGTGAACCAAGCTGCATTAAAAGCAGCTGTTGATGGAAAAGAAATGGTTACTATGAAGGAACTAGAGTTTTCCAAAGATAAAATTCTAATGGGTATGTTCTTTTCTTTAATTTTGTTTTGTCTACCTTGATCATATTTTCTTGCAAATGTTCTGTCTATTTAGGTAGCCGAGGTCCGTGGCTATGTTGAATATACTCTCACTCTAAAACTATAGTACCTCAATATTCAAGTTTTGTCATTAATATTTATACATGTTCCCAATTTGAAAGTCAAACAGTGGTAAGCATTAAGCATTATTTTCTTTTACTCATAGTACTCATCTTTGATTAGTGTAGAATTCAGATTTATAACAGCACATTCATTAGCTTTGTCTTCGAACATCAATCTTCTAGCTGGAGAAAGAACAGTAAAATAGCAAGGTATGGGAACATGAAAATATATCCTTGAAGATAGCCATTTGTCATTTTACAAAGCAAATTATTCAGATCACTTTTGTGATTAGTTAGCTCATGGAAAGGTCGGGGCAGGTCCTTGTATATTACTGATAAAAGAATGATGAATTTTGTTCTCCTATTTAAGTTCAGACTGACTGACACTAAAACAGGTTAATGATATTCATGTTCATCTTCGGGTTATATTCATTGAAATCTTTTCAAATTTTACTCAAATTTTTTACCATCAGGCCCTGAGCGTAGAAGTGTGGAGATTGATAACAAAAACAAAACCATCACTGCATATCACGAATCTGGCCATGCTATTATTGCATATTACACTAAAGATGCAATGCCCATCAACAAAGCTACAATCATGCCACGAGGCCCAACACTGGGACACGTGAGTGTCTTTTGATTTCTTCTTTGTTTTAAAAAGACCAAGTATAGGAAATGCAAGTATAGCAATTGTCACTTATGTGGGAAGTTATTAATGAAAACCCTTTTTAAAGAAATTGAGCATACTTTTAAAAAGTTTTTGATATGCCTATTTCCATATTCAGAGACACTCATGATATTTTTCTGTCCAGCAGAAATAGATTTTTTTTACTTTAATTCTGTTGTATGTGTATGGTACATTGTGAAATTTGGTTGAGGACTGACAGAAAATGTAATTTTTAAATACCTAATTGCTTCTCTCTCCTACAAGAAAAGATGGCATGTCATAGTGATTTCTTGTTCGTTTTCCTGTGGAATTTTCACGTGTAGTACAGACTGCCTTCTCATAGATCCTTCCTATTACAGACCTGCTTAACATTACTGAATAACTGGGAATAAAACAATCCTGTTTCAGCATTATATAAGGATTATTTGAAAATAAACTTTTCTTACTTTCTAAACTGCTGGTTTTGTCATGAGTTACGAGATGGCCATCACTGTTAATTTGCCGTGTAGATTTTCACGTCATGGCATTGAGTACAGCAGTGTGGCCCCAAATGAAAATTAACTTTAAAAAAAATCATTTTATTAGGGGCTCATACAACTCTTATCACAATTCATACACACATCAATTGTGTAAAGCACATTTGTACATTCATTGCCCTCATCATTCTCAAAACATTTGCTCTCCACTTAAGCCCCCGGCATTAGCTCCTCATTTTTTCCCCTCATTCCCCGCTCCCCTTCCTTCATGAACCTTAGATAATTTATAAATTATTGATTTATCATATCTTGCACTGTCCAGTGTCTCCCACTTTTCTGTTGTCCGTCCCCCATGGAGGAGATTAAATGTAGATCCTTGTAATCGGTTCCCCCTTTCCATCCTGCCCTCTCTCCACCCTCCCGGTACCGCCACTCTCATCACTGGTCCTGAAAGGATCATCCACCCTGGATTCCCTGTGTTTCCAGTTACTATCTGTACCAGTGACATCCTCTGGTCTAGCCAGATTTGTAAGGTAGAATTGGGGTCATGATAGTGGGGGAGGGAGCATTTAGGAACTAGAGGAAATGTGTATGTTTCATCGTTGCTATACTGCATGCTGACTGGCTAGTCTCTTCCCCATGACCTTTCCGTAAGGAGGTGTTCAGTTGCCTACAGATGGGCTTTGGGTCTCCATTCTGCACTCTCCCTCATTCACAATGATTCGATTTTTTTGTTCTTGATGCCTGATATTTGATCCCTTCGGGACCTCATGATCACACAAGCTGTTGTGCTTCTTCCATATGGGCTTTGTTGCCTCTGAGCTAGAGGACCACTTGTTTATCTTCAAGCCTTTAAGACCCCAGACACTATATCTTTTGATAGTCGGGCACCATCAGCTTTCTGCACCACATTTGCTTATGCACCGGCTTTGTCTTTGGTGATTGTGTGGGGAAGGTGAGCATCATGGAATGCTAATTTAGTAGAACCAAGTATTCTTATATTGAGGGAGTGTTCATCTGCTACCTTAATACTAAATCGATACATATATGCACATAGATCTATTTCCATATCCTCGTATATAAAAATATATTTATAAAAATAAATCTATTTACATATGTACATGCCTTTATTTAGACCTCTATAAATGCTCTTTACCTCCTACCTCTTTCCTCTATTTCCTTTTACTTTCCTCTAGTCCCACTATCATTTTCAGCCTTCATTAGGGTTTCAGTAATTTCTCTCAATTACATTACCCTTGGTCACACCCTACCAGACCTCCTAGACCCTCCTGATTTGGATCACTTGGTGTTCCCTTTGCCCCGGGTTTGTTAACACCTCTACCTTTCCCCCCACCTCCTCCTCTCCCATGTCCCCCCAGAACTTTCTCCTCCAGTCTATCTTATTTAGACAGACCTGTGGAGATAATAAAATGCACAAAAACAAGACAGAGAAAAACCAAGCAACAAAATAAAATGAAACAACAACAAGCCAATGACAAAACAAAACACCGCAACAAGAAAGAAACACTAAGGTCATGGAACAGAACAGCAAGGGGAGCACAGCAACGCAGTCCCCAGGGATTACCAAAAATAGACTTTGGGGCCAGGGCTTGGCGCCCCAACAGACTGGACTGGAAAACACTCCTAAAGGCCAACAAACAGTCCTTGAACTAACTACAGACTTTGTTGTTGCGAAAATCAACATTTTTCATCTGTTTCAGAACTATACTCGATTTTGTCCTTTTGGTTACGTTTGGGTGGTTTTTTTGATGATCTAGGTGTCCCTATTACCTGAAAATGACAGGTGGAATGAAACCAGAGCCCAGCTACTTGCACAGATGGATGTCAGCATGGGCGGGAGAGTGGCAGAGGAGCTTATATTTGGAACTGACCACATTACAACAGGTGAACTGTGAAAAAGGCTTAAGTTCAAATGGTATTTGCTGGTTAAAATGTTAAAAACCTGAATAGTATGTATATGTTCATATTTTAGGGGCTTCCAGTGATTTTGATAATGCAACTAAAATAGCAAAACGAATGGTTACCAGATTTGGAATGAGTGAAAAGGTAATGTTAATTTTAATTGTTACATTTATAGTTTGATGATGCGCCACTTGCCATTTTGTTAGAAAGGGTTTCTAACAGAAACCTTTTTCTCCTACAGAACTTTTTTCCTTTATCTCATTTCAGGTAGATTTAAGGGCGTTCATTGTAAACATTCTAAATTTTATTCTCTAAGTGACAAAAATGTATTGCATTCTGTGTGCTTTTAGCTTATCTTATGAGCTAACCAGTGATAATGAATTCTTTAGTTTTCTCATGAAAGAACCTAGTTGCTGAGCTCTGCCTTTTACCCTTCATGTCACCACATTATCTATCATTCCATCTAGTACTCTGAATTGTGCATATCTGAACTGGAAGACCTTTGGAAGCATTCTAAGATGCTCCTCAGAACCTGGCTGTCCTGGCCATATTTTAAATTTTTAAAATTTTAGCCTTTATCCTTTCAGAAGAATGATGAAAATTCTTTGTTCTTAAGGCATACAGTTTTATATTGTATTCCTGTTTGCTCCCATAGCATTCATTTCCTTATGTGTAGCAAAGGACTTCCTCTGGTATTTCTACTAGTTCTTTTGGATTTTCTATTGAATGCTTTCTTCCCTTTGATTGTAGCTTGGAGTTATGACCTACAATGATACAGGGAAACTGAGTCCAGAAACCCAATCTGCTATTGAACAAGAAATAAGGATACTTCTAAGGGTAATGATAGTATTTTGGTTTTCTTTTTAATTTGTTTAGATAGAATGTGTCTAAATAATTTGGTGTTTATAAAATTATAATAAATGAAGTCTCTCCATGCCTAGAAGTGCTATTCTATGTGAAAAGAAAATAGCACCATTCTAAGCATGCCTTCAATATATTGCTAGGAAACTTCCGGTCATGAACTGAATATTAGGCTGTCTGTGGCTAAGAACAGTTTATTTTTGTGACTAAAAGAATTCAATTCTACTTTAGTTCAAAATCATAAGAAATATTAAAATGGAGGACATTATTTATTGAGTCTCTGTGCCTCATTTTCCAAACTCTTGCTTATTTAGTAAACATTTGCTTTACAGCCAACATTGTGTATGTATGCTGGCATGGAATCAAGTTCCCTTTGGGTTTTAGGGTCCCAAGTAGACTGGCATAAAGAAATGTGTAAAAGCAGCTTCATTGAAATCACTTCTTAGCTTGCGGGGTAATCGCATAATATGCCAGATGCTTAGATTGGGTAGTGAAAGTAGAAATGGAAAAACGTCAAGAGCTACTGCAGTAGAATAGGTTTGTGTGACGTTTCAGATAGAAAGAGAAAGCAGGTAATGCTGATTCGTACCCCAGACCACTGTATGGTGGCTTGCACGTTGACTGAGAGAACACGGAGGTGAAGTAGGCAGGTCATGAGTTGTTTTTCACTTTTTAACTTGAAGTGCCTTTGAGACAAAGGCATGGCAATTTGAAGTTGGGAGAGAGTGAATCTGGTGCTTAATTTATCAGATTGGTGTTCTCTATGGTGGTGGTTATTTATCCATGAAGGCGTGAACATAGGATGGAAGAAATGCCAAGTTGAGTGCCTTAAAAAACCTTTCATGAATGAGGAAGTTAGGATGGCATTTGTTAGGTGTCACCATGAAGAGGGGTGGATAGGGAGGGAAATGGCATAGACCTCGTAAGACAAGAGGTAGTAATGATCTGGAAGTGGCAATGAGAAGGAAAGACTCACTTCTCTATCCTGAAGGACCCTGGGTAAGAGGGATGTATAGCTATGCTCTGCACGTGCAAATGGCTTGCCTTTGACTACTACCTGACGAAGAACAGGCCTGGGTTGTTATTAGAGCACAACTGCCCCATAGATGGCAAAGTTCGGTAAGCATTAGACTGATAACTAGGAGACCAGGAGTTCAGACCCACTACCCTCTCTCTACAGAAGAAAGATTAGGCTATCTGCTCTCAATAATTTATCCTCTTGGAACACTTATAGTTGAAATCTACTTGATTAAAAAAAAAAAAAAAGCCAAACTTACTGCCATTGAATTGATGCCTAATCATAACAAACCCTGTAGAACAGGATAGGCCTGGCCGGTTTCTGAGATGATAATTCTTAAAGGAGTAGAAAGCCCGTGTTTCTCCAATGGAGTGTCTCTTGGTTTTGAACTGCTGACCTTGGGGTGGCTTTTCTTTTTTTATTTATTTTTTGCTTTTGACATTTTGTTATATGTACAAGACAAAATAGTTGGTGAGTTCGACCTTTCTGTTACCAGTCAAATGTTTAACTGTTGTGCCCTAGGGGCTCCTTTTCATACAGGTTAGAGCCAAGAAAACCCTTTGGACCGATTCTGCTCGCTAACACAGAGGGTGTCTGTGAGTCAAAGTCAACTCAAGAGCAATGAATTTATTGTTTGGTTGTAAGAGGACTTGGGGAAAGGAGTCCCCACAGTAGAGACCAATCTTAATAACTCAAGGAAGGAGAAAAAATACTTAGAGTAGGTAAGGGTAAAGAAAGTTTGTTTATGGTAGCTGGAGTCACTGCGTGGGGCAGGGCCACCTGGGAAAGGAGGCCACCTCAGTGCCTGTCGCCAGGGCCCCTGGTCCTCCCATCAAACAAAGGGGCCAGGGTGGTGGACCCCGCCCTGTCACCTCCCCCTGCCATGCTCATGTCCTGTGTGCTGTTTTTAAAGTTGGTTTCATATAAGGTTTAGAAACGGGTCTTCAAACTGCTGTCTGCCGAGGACATTTATCCAGCCCGCCAGGTATTTTTGCCCCGTTTTGTTTTTTACTTCAAAATAAGATATATGCAGTGTACATAAGAATTTGTTCATAGTTTTTTTTAAAACTATAGTCCCACCCTCCAAAGGGTCTGAGGGACAGTGAACTGGCCCCCTGCTTTAAAAGTTTGAGAACCCCTGGTTTAGTAGATGTTTTAAATTAGGCTTCCCTTCCAGAATCTTCATTCTTTTTCCTTTACTCTAATACGTTATTAAGTATAAATGATCTTAACTCTAGAATTCCAGGAAATACTCTTTCACTGCTTTAAGACTTCTGAAAACACATAAAGAATAGCAAAAATTGGATCCTTTCCCTTTGCTAGGACAGATTAGAAAGACAATAGATGCTCTGTTCTCACTAGGGTTCCCAACGTACATTGCTAGTAGTAAGTGGGAATGATTCCCAATCAGTAGCACTGTGACCTCACACGTATGTGAAATTCAGAAGAATAAACATTTAATAGTAACCTATAAAAGAAGTATGTTATCTTTTTCTTTTATTTTTTTTACTTTCATGTCAGATTAAACAGAATATACGGTAAATACATTCCAATCTCGCAGGCAATATTTTGATCCCCCGGTAATTTTAATCGCATCCAGAAATAAAGACCCCTGTAGTTTCTTCCACGAGCACTCAAGCAGTCTAATTTCAAATGAGAATACTATTCAGCATCCTTATGTAAGCATAAACACCCTAACCTGCTCACCAAGCCAGACGGGAACCCATTCAGCGAAAAAGGAATTCCAGCAAAACTTGGTCCTGTCTGAGTAAGCGAAGCCCTGTGATGCTCTCCAATAAGGGCTGCTCTCTCCACCCCTGTTGTCTAGGAGGATTGTATCAGCAAGAAGTGTGTTATAAAACAGTTTCACTCCCAGGGAGGGGAGAGGGAGAATGGGTAGGAAAGAGGGAACCGATTACAAGGAACTATATGTGACCTCCTCCCTGGGGGACAGACAACCGAAAAGTGGGTGAAGGGAGACATCGGACAGGGCAAGATATGACAAAATACCAATTTATAAACTATCAAGGGCTCATAAGGGAGGGGGGAGCGGGGAGGGAGGGGAAAAATGAGGACCTAATGTCGGGGGTTTAAGTGGAGAGAAAATGTTTTGAGAATGATATACAAATGCGCTTTACACAATTGATGTGTGTATGGATTGTGATAACAGTTGTATGAGCCCCTAATAAAATGTTTAAAAACAAAACAAAACAGTTTTCACTCCAAGAGAATTCATGTTTTTAAATTGCTAATTTCATTTTACATTTTATCTATAATGTTACTTTTCCATGTTATATTTGATAAATATTTAGTTTTATTATTTCACGGTTTATAAAGACATTAGATATTCTAAAGTCTTTTTAATAATTGTCTAATGTTTCTGTGATATATGCTTCTTAATGTTGGTGAATTCATTTCTGTAAATTACCATTTATTATTTCTAATTGGCTCTTACTATTTTTTTTTCCTGTCATACAAAATTCTTTAATTAAAATAGCTCTTACATGATTTATAAAACAGAAGTAATACACTCAAAGTCCGCCTCCCTGGCAGGAATGAGCAAGACTGGGCCATGAAAGGCTGGGAGCGCACTGGGTCCAAGGAGGCGACTCAGGCTGACTACGGACAAGTGAGCTATGGCAGCAGGGCTGGGACGGCTTCTCCAGTAGAAGTTACACAGGTCCTCTCAAAGAAAACTGCATTCTTAAATGCTAGCCACAAACCGGTTCTCCCCTGCCCAAATCACAGGACATGGCTAATTAAAACATAGGCAGCTAGTATCTGTCATACACACTCTAGAGTCAAAATATATGGATTCACAATATGTGTGGTGGTGGCTACAAGAAGGCAAAGGACATATGCCACCTGCCTGTTAGCACATGAGGCAAGGAGAGACTCAGAGGTAAAACCACCTGGCTGCCTGCCTGCCTGCCTACCTGCAGTCTCCAAGCGACAACAAGGGCAGAGGTCTCACAGGTCAGCACACGGAGCCCGAGGCGGATTAAGAAAGGCCCAGAGCCCAACACGTGCCTTGCTGAGCCCGCATACCCAGGAGCCGTTCAGCTTCTTCGCTCTGAGCCTGCAGGGTCTCGCTTGCATGTTTCTGAAGGAGTTCCGCCTTCTTCCTTCGTACAAGCGCATCCTCAGTCTCTTGCTGCGATGGCACCTGGGGCATGAGCGGTGGACTTCTGCTGCCCGTCTCCACCTCCTTTCTCCTGGCCACCTTCCTCGTCAGACTCTCGTTGACAGCAGAGATGTTGACCTCCTCTTCCTCCTCCTTTTCTCCTCTTGCCAACCGGGCCTCTCTTTGTTTTCCACTTTTCCACTAATTCAGCTCTCAGTTTCTTTTCATATTCTTGTTCCAAAGGTACAATAACGCCATCATCTTCATTTAAGTAACCGTAGTACTCACAATCGATGGCCTTCATGATCTCCGCTCGTGTTTTTCTTGGAGGAGGAAGAGGTTCTTTTTCAAACAGCTCTCTAACACCAGGCAAATCTTTTGCTGCTCCAACGTATTTGTAGCCTCGATTTCCCGGAACTTCTTTTCCTTCATGATCCAGCATTTTAGGACCAACTTTCCCATAATCAGGACCACCCAGTTTCTTTATCCAGACCTCCCAGTGTCCTTTTTCTCTCAGCAGTTTGTTGACTTCATCATTCAAGTCACGAATTCGCAATTCATCTAAACCAGCATTCTGAATTTGAGCCACTTTTTTAGAGATCTCTCCACTAATCTGCCACGTCCATTTTTCAACTTTGGGTAACCCTGCACACTCAGAGGCAAGAAAGGGCCGTCTTTCCTTCACTTTTCCATCTTCCAGCTGCGCTTGGCGAAATCTCCCCAAGCCCGTCATGGCCTGTTCTGCATTTCGAGCCATGGTGCGGGAGAGGGCGCCGCCCCAGGGCGGCGTGGCCCGGAACTGCCAGCTCTTACTATTTTACTTAGGTCTAACAAGAAAAAGAAAAATAGCTTAGATCCATTTTAGTAATGTGTTTATTTATGAAATGCTTCTTGGTGATGGTAAATTCATTTTTACATTTTCCATTCAGTTTTATAAAGGTGAAAATTCAATTAGATGTTCCAGTAATTGCACAGGCATCCTAGCGGCCACAGCTGGGACATTGTCAGAAGTGAAATGTTAGTAGTACCGTGACTGATGTATTAACCCAAACTCATCTTGTGAAAGGCATCGGGAGTCTGACTAATTTGAGATGGGTTGCAAAAAAAGTATAAAAATCAGTGTCATCTGAAATGATAACGATAATTGCAGTTGTCTGTCAGAAACTGGGAAATAAGTGCCTTCCTGAGTGAAAGAAAGACAGGTCTTTTGAGAGTTCTGGAGGGAGTAATTGGTAGAAATCCCAAGTAGTTAAAGGAGCAGTCTCCCTGTCTTTTTATGGTGTGTTAAAGAAACAGGTCTGGGGTTCCTCCATCTTCTTTGAAAAAGCAGGTAAGTACACTGTAGACTTTTCTTTTTCAAGGTAACTTTTTTGTCTATGAAGTTCTGAGTTAATTGTCCATGAATATGACAGAATGAATATAACCTTATTTTTTTTAATGTTTTTTTCCCCACCGTCCCCACCCCTCCCCCTGAATATAACCTTATTTTAAGGTTAAAAATAAAACGTTTGAAGGAAGTGGAAAACTTTTCCTTGTGAATCAAGCTTTCATATAAATACCAGATAGCATGTAACATTTTTATTTCTTCTTCTATGAACCAGTTTTTGTTTCCCTAATATTCCCTCTTCCTTCATTATCTGCATTTCTGTTTTAGGACTCATATGAGCGAGCAAAGCAGATCTTGAAGACTCATGCGAAAGAGCACAAGAATCTAGCAGAAGCCTTACTGACGTATGAGACTCTGGATGCCAAAGAGATTCAAATTGTGCTTGAGGGGAAGAAATTGGAAGTGAGATGACAACTGTCCCGACAACGAGCAGACTTGGTTTTATTGCAAAAGTATCCATAGGATTGCTGTAGTCTCCTTATGTAACGCTTTGCCACCCTTACTATGATTAAGGAAGTGAAACACTTTGTCAGTCTTTTGTCACATTTATCCAATTTTGGTCATTCTCATGATGTGACCTAGTGCAAATTGACAATGCATAGCAAATGTGTTCAAGAAAATAAAGAACCATCAGGATTGAAAACAGTCCGTTTGAGAAATGTCAATCAGTTATTCAGTTGCAACTGATAATGATTGTATGATTGGTTATTCAGCTAGATATAAATAAACACTGTGCCTTGGGTCCTGGCATGTATTCTAATTGGCAGGCTGAAATTGTTGAAAGATTATTGACATTTTTCAAAAGTATCCTTTGTCTTTGATAAAACAAACAGTGCTATTTTACTATTAGTAAAACATGTTTCTGCCTACATGAGTTGAAACTTCATTAGGATGCCCTATTGATGTAAGGTCCAGATTGACCATACGTAAAGTGGTCTTTTAAAAATCTCTGATTAGAGAATTGTAGAGACTCAGAAATCAAAAAGGTTTCTTTAAAATGTGTCAGGCATTTTCATTTTATTTTTAAAATGTTGCTATCACCAGAACTAGGGAAACATTTCGGAATAGCAGTATTTTGTTAAATAAGTAAATGACAAGCCTTAAATTGTGTAAGTCTGTAATTATGCTTGGTATCAAAAGCAAAATTAAGCTGAAAACTCCCCCCCCTTCAAAGTGAACTCTGAATTACCCTATGTTTGAAAGGGAAAGCCCTGCTTGGTTTTTTAGTTCATTTGTGTCAAAAAGGATATGCTCTTCAGGATTTACAGGTACATTTTTATTTAAATGAATAGAAATATTATTTTAGAGCATGTTGTATTGGTCTCACAGCCAAATTATATTCTTGAAGTGATTTTATTAAAACTACCTACAGTTTTCTAATAACTTTTAAGCTTTATATGGTCTTCATTAGAGAACTTAGAAATAAAGGGGCTCATGGCATTCTACTTGTGGCCCTTTTTTCCCTTGTAGTTTTAAATGTTGATGTGATTTCTTAGTTAGAGAAAAGCTGATTATAATACAAGGAATCCCTATATGTTCTTGATACAAATCACCACCTGCTTTCATTTGTCCATTTCTCAGCTACCTGTTCTGCCTCTGGACACAGACACACACATTTGAAATGTCTATCTTATCTAATTGACTTAAAAAAAAATAGTATACGGATTTAAGTATGATTTACATATTTTAGAGTTCATTTATTAATATACTAGTCAAAGGTTTTGTGTCACTACTATAGTTTTAGAATTACAGTCGGGCTCAAAATGTCTTAGACTTATTGACAGTAATTCCTTGCCCCACCCCACACCCCAGGAACACAGGTCTTCTTTCCTTTCTCATAATCTGCCTTCTCAGTACATTTAGTATGTGTGCCTTTGACATTAAGATACGGTTCTGTTTATCATTTCTTTTTATTTCTTTGTAAGTACTCTCTGATTTGTAGGTAACCATGTACGTTTACCCACTCACTAGTGTAGACATGTTGTTTTCACAGTTGGGCTATTAAGACTAGAATTGGAATGAACATTAGTATCTACATCTTCATATAATGAATGTTTTCCTTTTTATTGAGTGAAAGTCTAGGAGTTCATGTTTAACTAGGAAGGAAAGCAGGGTACTAGTATTGATGTCGTCGTACGTTCTCCAGCAGTGGGAATGGGTGAAGGTTCCCGTTTCTGCTCACCTCTCACAACACTAGCAGCTGTTCCTTTAATGACATCTGTTCTAGCGATTGTGCAGCGGTAGCTCGTTGGGCAGGTAATGGACATTTTGCTAGAGATTATTGATGTTAAGCACATTTTCTGTGCTTATTGGCCATTTGTGTATGTGTATTTCTACATTGTAGAACTGTCTATTCAAATCTGTTGCCGCTCCCTCCTTCCCAAGTTTTGCTTTCTTTTGTAACTTAAGACTTTAGTCTTTTTTTTTTAAGTTTTGAAAGATACATGTTCTGGATAATTTTTTTCGTCAGTTGAGTCTTGCGCTTTTTAATCCACTATGACAATACGCCATTTGAGTGGATGTTTAGATCACTCATATTTAATATTGGTGTGATTAAATTGATACTTGCCAATTTGCTATTTTATATTTGTCTCTTGCCAATTTTCATTCTCTTGTCCTTCATTTACTGTCTTTTCTGTACCATAATTTAGTACATTTTAATGTCTGTTGTTTTTTTATATCTCGAATTATGTCTTCATGTTTGCTCAAGGGATAATATGCATCTTACCACGATTTACCTCAAGATCATTGAACTTAATTCTTAAAACATAATGTATCTGTACATGCTGTCCACTTAAGGATGTATTCATGGGTGGATAAGTGGATAGATTCTATCTAGTTGCCTTCAAATCATAAGGAATTATCTAAAACAGATAACAACAAACTATCTTTGTCATCATCATGATCAGCATACAGCAATATATTTTTTGCTTTATAGAATTTTCTTTCACCACTTTTGCTTATCTGTAAATGTCTTAATTGCCTTTGTTTTGTTTCTGAAAACAGTTTTGCTGAATATACAATTCCTAGTTGACAGTTTTGTTTTTCATCACTATGAAAATGTCATCCCACTAGCTGTTGTTCCCATTGCTTTAAGGAGAAGTCTGCTGATCATCACATTGTTGGTCTCCTGTGTACATGTAATAAAGGGTGGTAAGGGGGGGTTGTCTTTTTATTTTCCCTTGTTGATTTTAAGTTTGTAGCAGTTTGACTATCATGTATTTAGGTGTCATTTAGTCTGTGTTTTTCCTACATGTGGTACTTTATGTGAACTATAGATTGGTTTTGTTTAAATTGGAGAAGCAGCTGGGGGAATTATTTCTTTAATTTCCCCCGACCCACAGCTCTTCACTCCTCTTCTACAAGTCATATTACTTGTGTATGTTAGAGCATGTGATTCTCTACCCCCTTTCCTAAATCTTATTCTTCATTCTTTTTCTATCCGGTTTTTTTTTTTCTTCTTCAATTTTTTTTAATTGAATACTTTTTATTGATTCTTTTATAAGTTTACTGAATCCTGTGCATCTCAAATCAATTTAAGTTCTATTTCAGAGATTATATTTTGTAGCTTTGGAATTCTGTTTTTAATGGTATTAGTAGTTGCTGTGAAGTACTTGCCCCTCAGATACACTGTCCAGACCGTCTTTACTCATTAAGAAAGGGTCACCTGCAATTTCGTTTATCCTCCTTGGTAACTTTTGTGGTAAGTTTCGGATATTGTAATTGTAGCAACTACAGGTTCTGATTATTTTGACCAGTCTTGCTAGTTTGTTGTTTATTTCTGTAACACCTGAACTGAACTAAATCTGTGATATCTGCTTACAATGTATTATCTTACTACTGCTATCTCAGCTCAGATTTTTCCTCCCTAGTTTTATTAAGTCTGGCTTCATCTGGGGCTCACTACTCTCTCTGTGAGGCAAAGATTGGTCAGAGGTTTTCTTGAAACCCTTCCAGCCAGTAAGACCTCCACTGATAAATCTCCGCATGGATTTTGGAATATAGCAGGCACATTCCAAGTTTAGGTTGTTTTCAACTCTCTCCTTGTCTGTCGGTCTGTCTGTGTTTTTCTCCCATTTTAAAAATAAGACAGCTTTATTAAAGGTATAATACAATTTTCAAATCAGGGAGTAACAGGGCTGTGAGGAATCCCTGCCCAGTACTGCCTGGCCTTTCTTTTGTGTTTCTTGAGCCTCTTTCGTGTGCATGTAAAAAACTCTGTTAACCAGGGAGGTGACAAGCTTGGGTCATCTCCAGTTTCTGCTCTGAATCAGCCTCTAGTGAACCTAAAGTATGTGGGGTGCTATCAGGTATCCTATGGCTGTGTCTCTTACCAGGATTGGAACTTTAAAGACAAGTAGATACCCTGTCTACTTATTTCTGAGATCATTACTCTAACACTGCATCAAGTCAAATGAAACGGCACGAAGCTGCTTGTTTTCATGGTGTGTTTTGGCCAGATTGAATCCGCTGCACTGACAGCATCTAGGGTGCCATACGAGCAGCGGCACTCAAGACATAACTCAGTGTTTCTCACAGACGTCAGTAGTTTTCAAGAGTCAACGCTTCTTAATGTGTTATATCTCTTCAGTAGATTTTGAAGAGTGTCAAAATGGTTGTTTTTCACAATGGAGTCTTCCTTTTATAATTGTTCTTTAAAACACGAAAGGATTTATCACTTTTTGTGGGATCCAGCCCCATATCCAGATGGGTTTTAAGAGGCAGTTGTGTAATTGAGGAGTACATTAAAGAGACACGAGACAAGGCATGCAAGGGCTCTCCTCTTCCAATGGAGACCGGAACCAGAAGGAGGCTGTCATGTATTCTCATATGGCCTTGTATAATTGCAGGCATGAAGCCATGGTAAGCACATATCAGGAAGGGGTTGTATTAGAGGCATACATGTAACATGACGGGGACTAGCTTGGGCTATGCATATAAAACTCATGAACGTGAACAGCAGCCCTGGCCTCCCAGACTCTTTAATGTATGAAAGTTAAGTTTGTCCACATACAAACATTCTACCTGGTTCTGTTTCCCACAAACTTCCCCCTTGCTGAAAATGAATTTCTGCTTGCTTAAAAAATATATTTTAATGAATTTTTGGTGACTGTACACAAATATGGTCCCCTACTCCAACTATTTAAATTACACTTTAGCCAATCCCATTTAATGAGAATGGCCTTAAAGTGGACCTTTAGACTGTAATTACATATCCTGTTTATATTCATCATCAAAATGTCAGCCTTTCACTGTAACCCATACAATGAAGTAGATTACCTTTGGTAACTGAGTCATGTTTTACGTTTAGATCATTCTTTATATTTTCATGCCCATTTAAAAATAAATTCTTATTTTCATTCTAGCTGGTTTATTTCTTAATGTAAGTATGTAACATTAATGAAGCACATTGGAATATAAGCTTGATCTTTGGTTTAGGCAAATATTACATGTAGATATAATTAGGGTTAATCAATACATTTGAAATGAAGCCTTTCTACACCTTTGTTTGCCCTCATTTCACATTCATGCACACAACCAATTATATGTGAGGCGATACATTGTTTTCACTTTAATCATCCTGGTAGTAATTTGTCTGTTAGGAATTTATTTGAATATCGGTACTGCATTTTATAGGAGAGGGAAAAGAAAAATCCTGGTAGTAATTTGTCTGTTAGGAATTTATTTGAATATCGGTACTGCATTTTATAGGAGAGGGAAAAGAAAAATTATAAAACTGCCAGAGCTGGAGCGAGGAAGGGTGCTGCTTATATAACACATAACAGTGAGGAAGGGTGCTGCTTATATAGCACATAGCAGTGAGGAAGGGTGCTGCTTATATAGCACATAGCAGTGAGGAAGGGTGCTGCTTATATAACACATAGCATGGAGAGCTTAATATGAATCCTCAGTACTTTCAGAAGCAGGTGATTGGATTGACTCATACCCAGGAAACCTGTATTCCAACAAAAGACTGGTGAGCTGCTTTCCCGGAGGATGGTTGAATCACTGCTGTGCAGGAACTGGTGGTGGTCACCTTCAGGAGTTTTGACAGAAACCGCTTGAATTACCTTTAAGGGCCATATGTTGCTCAAGCACAAAGAGTGAGTTGGCCTCATTTTAAATACCATACAAAAGACCTAGAAATGTGGATAGTTCACAGGAGAGAATAATCCAAGGTGGATCTCTGCAAGAGTTTTTCATAACTGCCAAGTGGTGTGCATTCATTCAGAATAAAGAGACTACAGGCAAGAACACCCGTGCACAGAAATGTGCGTGAGAGAAAGTTATAAATACCTGCCAGGCCTGTATTGCTGAAGATCACCATAAAATAGCATCAGAAACAAGAATCTATGGAGAGGACAAAGATACAGACAGAAGAAAGCAAAGACCATGCCAACAGGGAGATTAAAGGATAGTGAAAGGTGAGGTTATAGTCCAGCTCATCTGGTAAATCAATAGTGGCTAAAGATATCTTACTTTTGGAGGAACACTTTAATACCTCTGATTTTTCAAAATGGGACATTTGATCCTTTAATTCCCCTTATATACGTGTGAATTAACTTAAAATAGATTGGTCCTTTTAAATCAAAATTTCCGTTATCTTGATGTATATGTACTTTTTGACATGAATTTTGATTGTAGTGTGTAATATCAGTTTTGGAAGAAATAAAACCCTAATGCTGCTTTCAAAGCAAGATGTTGGTTGAACCATCCTCCGGCTTGCTTCAGACATGTCATCACAAAGACCAATCTTAAGGAAATCTTGTGTGTGAGAAATAGAGCATCAACATAAACTAATGAAACCCTAAGGAGATGGACTGCCTTTCATTGCCTCGCAAAATGGTCATGAGGGGCTCAGCCACCATACAAGAAGCCTCGAATGTGGTCTAGGACCAGGCAGTGTTTCATTCTGCTCTTCCTACCGTAGGAGCCCATGCAGTGGCAACTAGCATCCACAACACAGAGCAACCGTTCTCTAAAACTTCTAGGCAAAATTTTCATAATCTAGGTAGTGTGCTTTACAACTTTCATTAAAATGATAGTGTTAATATCCAGGGATTCAATATTTTGTATATTAATTGGTAGTATTAGACCACTTTCTAATGCAGTTCTAAGTAAGTGAAAAAAAGATTTATCATTTGTTTTGTAATAATCTTTGGTAGGCTTTTTTCACTCCATTCCCAAAACGCACGGAGAATTTAAAGTACAGAAAAGATCTATAGAAATGAGAGCATATGCCTGCAATTCAGTTCCTACTTGGACACTTTTGACGTTTCTTTGCAGCTGTTGGTGACCCAGGCCATGCATTTTAAAGTACTGGGGATTTATTTTAAGACTTTTCTTTTTTCAAAAAAAGAAGACTTTGTTCTCCCAAGGTGCACAACATCCTTCACAGACCACATTTCCACTTAGTGTGGAAATCCACTAAGTGAATCTCAATCATCCACTAAGTGAACATCAATCTCACTGGTAGCCCTTGGACTTAAAGGCCACACTGTAGTGAGAAAAAGCACATGAATGCTATACAAAGGGCCTAGAACTCTCAAGCGTTCAGCGTAGGTTCATATCTCTTGCCTTTAG